TGACTAAAGATTTATTTAAGGATTGGTTTTATAATTGTTTTGTCCCGGCTGTGGAAATCTATATGGTGGAAAAAAAATTAATTTCAAAGTCATATTGCTTCCTGACAACGCTGGTTGCCGCAATATACAGCTAGACCATCCAAATGTAAAAATAGTCTTCCTTTCTCCTAACTGCACGTCATTAACACAATCTTTGGATCAAGAAATTATTCAAACTTTAAAAATGTACTACACGCGTCAATTTTTTCAAACTATTTTCGGCAGACTAGAAAATAGTAATAATAAAACTCTTATTAAAGTGTGGATAGAATTTTCTCCACAAGGCATTATTATAACAAATTCAGAGTAAGTTGAGCCCGAGCAGCCGATCCGAACGGATCGAAGCTGAAATTGAATAGTGCACAATAGTGTTACGTAAACAACAAGTGTGAATATTAATCAGCAAATATTGAGTGTAGTGCTACAGTGTTTCGTGCAACAAATGCCCCTTTTAGGGGCGGGGGGGAGGCATTTATTTGTGAATAAGTGAATAATTTTATTACAAATATGCAAAATCAAGAAAATATAACTTTTTCTATCCCTCCGTTGATTGAAACTATCAACATTCTTCACGATACGTCGACCATGGACAATGAATATATTAAACAAGTAATCATCAATCAGAAAACTAATAGTTCAAATAATGAAAAAAATGAATCAGACAATACGAATATGGACGAAATAGTTCCGTCAATTTCTTGGCAAACAATAGAACCAGGCTGCAAACGCAGACGCGCATCGGCTAATAAATATGTCGAAAATGTAAACATAACGCCGACTCGCAACAGGTTTGATGCAATAAAAACAAACAAAGGTCGTCCGTGCCAAACAACAAAAACACAAACTGCTAACACCGCAAACACCGCATAAGATGTCAAAGCCACCTCCTATATTTCTATATAATGTAAATAATTTTTCTGATATGGTATCTGATATTAATAGTGTAATAAACAGTGAACAATATTATACAAAATCAACGTCGGCCGATACAGTGAAAATAAATGTTTAACAGCCCGAGTAATATAAGCTGCTTATAAACTTTTTCAAACCAAAAGGTACTGTTTATCATAGTTATCAACTTAAAAATGAAAGAGCATACAGAGTGCTTCTCAAAAATATCCATCATACATACGATATCAGCGAAATAAAAACGGAACTAGAGAAGAAAAATCACAAGATCAGAAATATAATAAATATGAGTTCGTATATAACCAAAAAACCACTCAACAAGTTTTTTGTTGATTCGGAACCCTCTGATAATAATAATGAAATTTACAATATCACGAAATTATTGAATCATATTGTAGTCATTGAAGCGCCCAAAAAGAGAAAAGGATTAATACAATGTGCAAGATGCCAAAATTATGGCCATTGCAAAACATATTGCAATCGACCATCTGCAAATGTAGAGGAAATCACAACTCAAAAATTTGCAAAAAAAAAGTACGCCTGCTACGTGCGCACTTTGTGGTAAAGATCATCCCTCAAATTACAGAGGTTGCGAAGAATACAAAGCCGCGTACTCCACTGCATACAAGAAAATATATACAACCAAAAAAGCATATGATACAAGAGATATTCACGATCAAAACACAGGTCGTCAAAATACTAACATCATAAACACAAATCACATGAGCTACTCGGAAGTCATCCGAAACCAACAAATAAACGAAACTAGCGGACCCGAAACAAGTACGGTGCTACAGGACTTCTTGAACAGTCTTAGAGATATGTTTAAACAACTCATGGAACAAAATAATATGATCATGCAGATACTCACTATTTTGGTAAAGAAATAATGGTTAACTCACTGCGGATTGCTAAATGGAATGCAACTGGCATTCTAAATTATCTAAATAAATTAATCATCTTCCTTCAAATACAAATGATTGACATCTTATCAATAAGTGAAACTCATCATACATAAAAATTCCATTCTACAACTTTTATGGTACTAATCATCCTGACAACACAGCACACGCTGGGGCTGGTATTCTAATAAAATCATCAATAGAACACTATGAGTTATCGAAATATCAACAAAACCATAAGGCAACGTCAGTTAAAATAAAAAGTTGCGAACACAATATGATTGTTTCAGCCATCTACTGCCCTCCACGATATAATCTAAAGAAAAACAATTATAAAGAATATAAGACTCATGACTCCAAAAGGTAAACAACTAGCAGAGTTAAAATATGAGAAAAACTACACCATAATATTAACTGGGAGTCCGACTTACTGGCCAACAGACATACAGAAGATACCGGATCTGCTAGATTTTTTTATAACAAAAAACATTTCAAGCAATTATATTGATATAGAAAGTAATGAAGACTTATCTTCGGATCATACGCCCATAATTCTGACCCTAAGTACTAATGTAATAAAACAGAAGGCAAACTATACAACCACAAAACGAATTGGGAGTGTTTCAGAAATGTAATTTATTCAAAAATCAACCTTTAAGTGAGAATTAAAAATGAAAACGATCTCGACGAAATAACGGAACAATTTATAGGTACTCTTCAACAAGCTGCTAGGATTGCCACACCAGAACTAGCGCAACATAAACTGGAAATCAACGTACCAATGGAAATTAGGCAGCTTATAAAAGAAAAACGAAAGGCAAGAAATGTTTGGCAAAGAAGTCATAACCAGCACGACAACACAAGCAAGAAAACTTAAACATGAATTAAAACAGTGGAAAGGAATTGGCATAATGAACTATATTACAAATCTTAACAAGTATGATAACACGATTTGCACGCCAATTAAAAAAACTAGAAGACCTATAATAACTAACTCGGCAATAAGATTAGATTCGGAAGGACCATGGACTAGGAGTGATCAAGAAAACGGCGAATATGTTTGCGGAATATCTAAGAAACGTATTTACTCCAAATGAAAATAGTAAACAACCGCGAGTATCTGATGAAATTAATGAGATTAAAGGCACTACTGAAAACAGTTTACACCAAAGAAATTAAGAGATAAATTTCATTCTTAAATAACAAGAAATGTCCAGGAATTGATCTATTGGATGCTAAAATTTTGAAAAAACTGCCAAAAAAATGTCTAATAATGCTGACTTATATATTCAATGGAGTGCAACGTTAGGGATATTGGCCAAAGGACCTAAAGAACTCTGAAGTAATGTTACAAAAACAAGGTAAACCTAGTCATATGGCTAATTCATACAGACCAATTAGTCTTCAACCGGTTATATCTAAACTATTGGAAAAAAATATTACTAGTAAGAATACAAGAGAATCTTACCGCGATGCCAGATCATCAATTTGGTTTTAGACAATCTCACTCCACTATACAACAGGCTCATAGGATAACTGCAATCATTCAAAAAGCTTTTGAAGACAGAGAGTATTGCTCTGCGGTATTCATCGACGTAAAACAAGCATTCGATAGAGTGTGGCATGATGGATTGATAGCCAAAATTAAAAACTGCTTACCAAATCAATTATATATAACACTGAAGTCATTCTTGACTGGTAGATACTTCAAGAGATGCAGTATCAGATTTACACCTAATAAAATCGGGAGTACCACAGGGTAGTGTATTAGGACTACTTTTATCACCAATATATACACACGACTTACCAACACATAACAACACAATCACGGGTAAATTCCCGGATAATACAATGATCATGGCAACACATCAAGATCCAGTAATCGCATCTTTAAACTTACAAAAACATCTATTTGCACTTGAAGAAAGGCTCAAAGGATGGAAAGTAAGTATAAATGAAGACAAATCAAAACATATCACGTTAACAACGAGAACTCAAAACTGTGAGGCCGTATTTATAAATAACATCGAAATTCCTCCCAGTACCAGCATTGATTATTTAGGACTACATCTAGAACGTAGACTCACATGGGGTCTCCATATCAAACAAAAAAGCAAACAAACAATGAAGAAATTCAAACAACTGTACTGGCTAATTGGCAGAAAATCGAAAATGTCATACGCAAACAAGACTTTAATATACAAAACCGTACTACCCATACGGGAAAGTACCACGGGCCCAGGCTTGGTCCAGGCTTGGCCCAACTATGTACAAACTCTCGGCCAAGCTTATAAGCCAAGCTTGGCCCAGCATTGGCAGAAATCTGGAGTGATAACGATGGGCCAGGCTTAGTTGCCAGGACTGGGCCAGGGTTGATTGCCATGATTGAACCAGGCTTGGACTAGGTTCGATCACCATAACTGAGCCAGGCTTGGGCCAAGCGTGATTGTCAGGACTAGGCCAGGCTTCATTGCCATGACTGAGCTGGGCTTGAGCCAAGCTTGATTGCCAGGACTGGGCCAGGCTTGATTGCCATGACTGACAGGCTTGGGCTGGGATCGATTACCACGACTGGGCCATGCTTATTTGCCTTGAGTGCGCCATCCTTAAAATTGACACGCTTGAACTGGGCTCGGTTGCCGCAATGTAAGTTAAATTATTTTTATTTAATAGACTTAATGTAAGAGCTTACGAATTGGACAACGACGTTTATTTAACTCAATTAATTGGATTTAAAATAAGGACATTGTCTAATATTTATAAGAATTATATAAACAGAATTTCATGGTTAAAATTAATTATTGTAAGTATATAAGAGGTGTTTAGAGAACTTTAGCCACAATTAGAATTAAAATTCAAATTATTTTCGATATTCAAAAAAAAAATGGGAATTAAAAAAAAAATTCTTTTTCCTTTCTGCCATTTTTTGCACATTTTGCTTCGTAACTCTGAAATGGCTGAACCTGTCTTTGTCAAAAACCACCAGTTTTCTCTATCATTACGAATTGAAGGTTTTTTGGATCATTCAAAACGGTTGTGCCGTACGCCCAAAATCGTCGGCAAAAAATTTTATCCACACATACACACACACCCACACACACATAAATTTTTTCTAAGGTGTGCCAAAATGCATTAATAGTACATGTATAATTACTTCCGCTGAGCACGTCCACCTTCTCTGTCTTTTGCTCCGGACAGAAAAGCACTAACGGAAGAAATCACCGCAATTTTTTCTGGTGAAGATTTGTATTTAGTCATAATGAATTCTGAAACAATAATAAACAATAATAATAATGATAATAATACTAAAAATAATTAATATAAATAAATATTTGAATAAAACAATGACTTACTTTCCATAATTTTGTAACTCTCAGTTTCTCTAAAACTTTTTTTCCCTCGCATTTTACTTCACGTTCACACCCGCTATATCCTAGCTGAACTTCTTTTTTTTTAAATTTTCTCCATTATTTTGTGGACATCTTCTACATACTTAGTACAATCCGCCGAAACCATTTGAAATACGTCGGTCTATAAAAATAAATTCTTTATTAAATTATAATTCATATTTGTAAATGATATTTATATCATTTTTTGTTTTAAATTTTAAGTAAAAATTTAATGACTTGTGAATATTTTATTTGTAGAATATATCTAAATAATTTATAAATGCCAACGCATTTTATTTTTCCTCGTCTTTTTTCAAGGAGTTCTCGAAGGCTAGAAACAGGGCAAGACATCGCCGATGATACTCCATGCTCTTTGCTTGTTTCTAACATTTTCTAACATTTTTTTGAATTCCTGTGCGATGGTATAATTCAAGCTTTTTTTTAATTTCGTCATTTCGAGATGAATTGTATTTTGTAAAAATAGCGCCAGTTGCTCATAGTTTTGGATATCTAAAAATTGTACAATAAACTAGTTGGTATTGGTATTTTGCCTTGAGGCAAGTTACATAAACTTCCCGACATATGTAAATAATCGACTTAATCAATAAAAAAAATTGATTTATGAATTATTAAAAGTATTCCGAGTGGATTTATAACATATAATTGAAAACGAACGAACACGTTAACTCGGAGTATTTTCTAAACGCAACTATTCAAAAAACAATATTTTTTATAATTGAACCAGTTTCCGTGGGACTTTAATGGTTTAGTATGATCATTAAGTCCAAGTACGCTATCGTTATACCAAGTAAATCGTCTAATTTTAATTATAACAAACGTCAAAAAAACTATTTTCTCAAATTTTGATGAATTTTCAAAATTAAACTACTTGCCGTAAGGCCGCAATATTTCAGTAAGATCTATAAAACTATGATATATATCACCAAAAAAAGTTCCACAGAAATCGGCTTAAATTTTTTTTTTAACAGTTAGATCGGTAGATTATCACCTAAAACTAATCAGCCTCATTCCCAACTAATATCTTTCGAACAGTTTTTGATTTTTTAAAATCGAATCGGTAGTATGGGCCTAAATGTGGACAAAAAGTTTAACATTTTTTTCCAAATTACACAGAAACGGCTCGGATTTTCAAAATGAAACGACTTGTCGTATAGCCGTAATATTTTAATATGATCTAGAAGAATATGATATCTATCACAAAAAATAATTCATGAAAATCCGAGATCACAAAAAAAAATTCATGAAAATCGCCGGAATTTTTTTTTAACACTTTATTACAAGAAAAGGGTCCGGCCGATTTTTACTAAAAACTAATCAGCACGATTCCCAACCAATATCTTTTAAACGGTTTTTGAATTTCCAAAATTTCGGTATTTTTACATAAGCGCTATTTGATACATACTACATTGAGGTTTAAATTTCTCGAAACAAATTTATCTTTAAATTCCATAATCGCATAAACAGCTATATCTTCAAGTGATTCTATAGGATAAACAAAAAGGCTACATATCGTGTTACAATAAATATTAGGTTGTCAAATATCTCCCTTCCGCTTTTTTGCTTGAAACTCGAAAGACAAAAAGGCGGAAGGGAGATATTTGACAACCTTATAGAATTGGACTGATAAATGATGATGTTTGTTTCATCTTATGTAAAAATGTAACAGTTTTTAAGTGATATTTGTGCCAAAATATTTTATATCATACAGATCACCCCTGCGTAATCTTTATTTTTTTTTACTTTATACATAATAATTATGATAATTACTAAATATTTTAGCTTCTTATTACAATTATAAAATATTATTTTTCGAAAACGTTTCGAAGTTTGAAAATACTATAGAAGCATCACATTGTTTTAAATAACAATACTCAACATTTATAGTAACTTAATATTTATCTCAACAAAGATTCCGATCTTAAATTAGTATAAAAATTTTTTTTTTTTAAATATTGGAGATTATGCTAATTTAACACATCGGATACAGACCATACAGTTTATCATAATAATGTAATATAATCTTTTATGAATTTTTCGTCTTTTGGTTTGTTTTTGGTGAAAAGTACTCAATATACTCGATAGTGATAATGAGTTAATTAAATTCGATATAATTTTGTTAATTTATTATTTAAAACAATAAATTTATTGTTTTATTTTATTGTTTTTATTGTTTAGTTGAATATAGTTGTAGTTGTATATACATTTTTTATATTTGTACTAATATTACTATAAGATAATAAAAATACCGGTAATTCGGTATTCCGGTTTTAAAATGAAAAATTACCGATATTGAAATTTTCCATCGGTATTGCATTCCCTAATCGTGATTATGTTATTTTACAATTAGACAATCTGTGTGAGTAAATGTAATTTTACTTTTAGTGTATGAGTAGGAATAATTTTATTTTTAATTGTAATTTTAGAATATTACAATATTTTTATCACAACAATTAATACTAATCACACGTAATTTCAAAAGCTTGAATGATATTTCAATTGATATCTGAATCATATGATATCAAATACTGTAAAACATAAGAAATACCTTTGGGTTCCGTTGTACTATCAACTGCAGCTTTTGCATCAATTTCAACTTCACCTCCAGAGAGTTCTGAATTATTTAAACCATTATTGTTGTTGTTCAAAGGCCGTTTTTGCGATAATAAGTGAGAGACATTTTTATAATTTAATAAAACAGGCTCACTATCTTTTTCGGTGTTTGATTCATTATCAGTGGTCTGTATATCATTTGTTTTAAATGATCTTTTTAAACGACGTAATCCTTGGGCATAATCCTCTGAAACGTCAATAAATTATATTACACAATTTCAACAACATTGAGCACAATTATTTTTATTGTAAAAATAATTGTGCAAAATTTATTTCGAGAGATAATACTATGATTAAAGTATTTGATGTACATAAATACTTACTAGCTTTGCTAATAATTTTGATTGGATACTTTATTCATGTCTCCTCGTCAGGTATTATATCAAGTTCCACCCACTTCATCACCTTATTCTGATCTTTTTTTGGCGGCCATAAACACTTAGAATTATCCTCATCAAGCCAACTTATTAAAACTAACTCTACCATTTTTTTTATTGTTTTTAGTTTCATCAAATTCCACCACTGCATACAATTTAATATTTCCCGTCATTTTCAAAATTTATAATACAATAACACAATAATAAAAAAATAATCACTTAAGCACGTTGCACTACGACCTATCTTATAAAACTCAAATAACTGACTGATGCGCGCCCGAGAGCGCAATAAATTTAAACATGTAATAAAGCTATTGCAAACTGTTCAATAATATAACATTTAATAATAATAATAATATACATTTAAGTTTCACACAAGTGAGGTTTAACAATATTTTAGGTTTTTTTCAAGAAGTAACTTCTGTTAAACCTACATCAATTGATGTTGTTGGATAATCGAATACTTCTCTACTTTTACTTTCCACTATACCATATATATTATCAATTATTTCTTGAGTAACGTACTTTTCTTGTATATTTAATATACAATATAATAAACTGCTATTGTACAAATATTTTATCATCTTTCAATTGAATTATATTGTCTGGATGTTTACAAGTAAAAGTGATACCACGTAGTTTAACTTTTTCTACCATTATATATTGCTTTTCATGTAAATCAACAGTCTCGCAGGTATGTCCATAAATGCACTCACATAAATTGTTTTTTTTTAATTATTTTTATTTGATCAGCCGTTTCTAATTCATAATTTGAGTCAGTGGTTTATAAGGTGATTTAACCAAATGTTTGAATAAACCTATGTAATTTTTACCCCAAAATGCTGATATTTCACTTAGAGGCACTTGCAAATGACGAACATCGTCTGAAATATGTAATAAATTGTGCATATTTAAAACTTGCGCATCTTCACCGTATTCAGATGGCAACAAAGTAAAAAAAGTTTTAGTTGATCTTGAGCGTATTCAACGTATTTTACTGCATTCAAATCATCATTTAAAATTCTACACGCGACAAATAATAATAAGAAATGCCGAAATTTATTTTGAGATAACACGTCTTTGAAAACAATTGGTCCAATGTAAAATAAAAAAAATCGAGATTGAGTAGCTTTCCATTTAGTAACTTGATCAATATCATACAGTTTTCTCTCAAACTCAACCGGAACATGTGATGCTATAGATTGCATAATATTCATCAACTGGTTTACTTTAGGTTTTTTCAGCCGAGCATTGTGTTTTTTACTACTAACAATTTTTCCAATATATTTTTCATTACTCCAAGGTAGAGTAAATGCATGGAATCAAGGACGACATCACGCATGGATAGTATCAAACTCTTTAAATTTTGATAATTTAGTTTTAAAATTCTCTAAATGATGTTGTGGTTGATATTCTCTTATGAAAGATTATTTCGTTAGCAAATCACAGTTTGTATTAGGATAAACACGCTTGCGATTTTTTTGTTATACCTTTCGCATGCAAAAAAACCACCTGGATTTTTTATTGCTTTAATAAAAGCTCTCGCCGGAGAGTCAGCAACAATACAAAATATTTTGGTGAGGATCACTTTGATTAATTTGATATTGAGTGGACTGTAAATTATAAATATTTAATCACCATAAGAAGATGTGAATAAAACCACTATTTAATTTATGACATATATTGAACTACACTCTACAACCTTCTTCTCTTATTACATTTGCTAGACTCGCTTATTATTATATGTTACAGATATTTATACTCATATAATTGTATCCCCTACCCCGAAGGGTCCCAGGTTAAATAAAAGCCCTGGTCAAATCTTGACCATACTGCCGGCCCTGCATTATAATTAATGCTGAACAATTGATTAAATATTACAAAAATATGAATTCTTATTATCTAATATCTTTTACCCTGTAACTTATTATCTATCATTTTATTATATATTTCTTAATTAGTAATTAGTAGAACATATATCAAAAGTAAAATTAACATTAAAATTGAACAATAAAAATTGCAAATAATACATTTTAGTCAGATCATCTAAACATACATGTGTAAGTGTATCAAAGAATACGATTAACATTAACTCTGAATTATAAAAAGATAACATTTTACTTAAATTATCCAAACATATCCTCATCATAAACATATATACAGGAATATCAGTAAATACATCAGTTGTATAACCATTACATGATATATTAATAAACAATATTAAAAATCTCCTTTTGGTAAAGGACATATTTTTGATGCAGGGCGTACATATTCACCCGTTTTTGTTTTTACATGTACGACACGTACTTTGTTATCACTTCCATAAATAATTTTAATAATACGCCTTAAGGCCCAACTTAATGGAGGCAAGTTGTCCTCTCTTAATAAAACTACATCATTAGTTTTTAAATCAGGTGTTTCTACTAGCCATTTATAACGTCTTTGCAATTGATTTAAATAATCTACTGACCAATTTTGCCAAAATAAATTTCTTATGTAAGTTAAGTTTTGCCATATTGACATTCTATTAATATTTATTTCTTTGAGGCTTGGCTCAGAAAAAGCAGTTAACGCGTCGCCAATTAAGAAATGACCTGGTGATAAAAAGGATGGTTCTGATGCATCATCGTAAACGCCAGTGATCGGTCTCGAATTTAATATCGCTTCAATTTGAGTTAGCACCGTGTAAAATTCTTCAAATGTTAATAAAGTACTACCAATGACCCTACGAATATGATGTTTAGTTAGCTTGACAGCACTCTCCCATAAACCCCCAAAATTTGGTGCGCTAGGTGGTGTAAATTTCCAGTCAATTCCATGTATAGATGCTGCCTCAATCAACTCAGAACGCGTGTTGTCTTTTTTAAAAAGTTTATATAAATCATGTAATTCGTGACGGGCCCCAATGAAGTTTCTGCCGTTATCTGAATAAATTGTGATACACTTTCCCCGCCGAGAAATAAAACGCTTCAGCGCCGCGATAAAGGCTTCAGTTGAAAGGTTGCTTACCAGCTCTAAATGAATTGCCTTAGTACTGAAACAAATAAATACCGCAATATAAGCTTTTAATCGTTGAGCCTTGCGCAATCGGCTTGCACGAAGTGTAATAGGTCCGGCATAGTCTACGCCGGTGATTACAAAGGGCCTGGAATGACTAACCCTGTCACTCGGTAAATTTTCCATAATTTGTTGTACAGGACGACAATTGTATCGATGACACCTAACGCAATTTTTAATAATATGTTTGATCGTGTTTCTCGCATTTATAGGCCAGACACGTAATCGAATATTTGCAAGAACAGTTTGTACACCTGCGTGCAGCAGCCTCTGGTGCTCTTGTAATAAGATTAAATTTGTTATATGATTTTTACTCGGCAATATTATTGGATGTTTTTGATTATATGGAATATTCGCATTCTCTAGTCGCCCCCCTACTCTTAAGATATTATTTTCATCTAAAAATGGGTTTAACTGAAGTAAAAATCTATCTGTAGTTTTAACACCTGTATTTGATTTAATCGATTCTATTAATGGTTTAAAATTTTCGTATTGTGTTTTGCGAATAATAATTTCATGAGCCGAAATTAACTCTGCCACATTAAGCGGCCCTATTTGCCGTTTCTCACGCTTAATCTTGCAATTATTAATAAATCTAACGCAATATGTAATTATTCTATGTAACTTATTAAAACACGAAAATTTTTCAAACGTTTCGTTACAAGACGGAGTGCACAAATAAATAATTGAATTGATTTCACACGGTACGTTTGCGGAATCGTTAACTTTAAAATTCTCTGGCCAACAGTTTTTATCTAATTTTAACCACTCAGGCCCAAACCACCATAAATTACAATTTTGAAGTTTATCCGCCGAAATTCCACGCGAAATAATATCAGCTGGATTGTCTCCTGACGGTACATGTTGCCAATTTACTAGTTTGAGATTTTTAATTTCCGAAATTCTATTACTTACAAATAGTTTTAACTTTGTGTGATCCGAATTAATCCATGAAAGTGTAATACTTGAATCGCTCCATAGAAATGTTTTATCAATTTGAAGTGTCAGTAAAGGTTTAATTGATGTATATAGCCGTACTAACAATAAGGCAGCACATAGTTCTAAACGCGGCAAGGTAATTAGTTTTATCGGTGCCACTCTAGATTTAGAACAGATTAGGCGTACGTTTATTTTTTTGTTTATATAAATAACTTTTAGGTATATGCATGCGCCGTATGCTTTTGTAGAGGCATCGCAAAAACCGTGCAATTCAACATATAAGGGTTGCTCTTTGAGAAGTATAGATCGCGGTATTCTAATATTGTTTACATTTTTTAAATCAGATTGGAACTGTTTCCATCGCGATAAAATAGAAGAATCTGTAAGAGGGTCATCCCAATCAGCCTTAATTTGTCACGTATCTTGTATAATAATTTTTGCAATAATTACGAAGGGTGATATAAGACCGAGCGGGTCGAAAATTTTAGCAATTGAAGATAAAATGTGGCGTTTGGATGGAGTTTCAACTATCTCAATTTCGTCAGAGCTAATTTGAAAATAATCGTCAGATGGGTTCCATTGCAGACCCAAGGCCTTTAACGGCGTATCAACACTTGTTAAACTAATTAATGATTTATCCGCAGAAGCGGAAGCTAGGATTTTCGGGTCATTCGCGGCCCACTTGTGAAGTTCAAAACAACCTTTACGAAAAAGTTTAATAATTTCCTCTTTTAAAGCAATTGCTTCTTCAATACTATCTGCTCCCGTCATTATATCATCTACATAGCAACAATTGCGCAAAGCATTTGCCGCCAAAGGAAAGTCGTTGCCTTCGTCAATGACTAATTGTTGTATACATCTATTTGCGAGAAATGGTGCACATGCAGTACCATAAGTTTTCATTGTGGCTTTTGTGCCATAAAATACGTCGAAGATCTTGATCTTCCTCTCTTACGCGTATTTGCCGAAACATTTTCATAATGTCAGCCGTGAATACGTAATTAAACATTCTAAATCTGATTAAAATATCAAAAATATTTTGTTGTAATTTAAGACCTGTGTACAAAGCATCATTCAGCGATCTGCCGCTAGAAGTCTTAGCAGAAGCGTCAAATACTACGCGAATCTTATCCAAATCCTTTTTAAAAATAGCGTGATGTGGTAAATAAAAACATTTATTTGTGTCGCTAAATGATGCCTCCTTTGCATGACCCAATCGAATATATTCATCAATAAATTGATCATATGATTTTTTTAGAAATTTATTTTTTTGTAAACGCGACTCCAGGTGTTCGAACCTTTTTTTGCTTGGTAAAACGAGGAACCTAGTTCTGAATTTGTATTTGATTTCAAAGGTAATGCTACAGTATACCGTCCTACTTGGTCTCGCGAAAAATTTTCTAAAAAGTGTTGTTCACACAATTGATCTTCAGTCGATATTTCATGGAGGAAAATCCCAACGCTTTAAATTTCCCAAAATTTTGTAAGTGACTCCGCGAGGGATATATGATTAATATTAGCTTTACTATTAATTATATTTTTCTCATATCTACCCGCTAGTGTCCAACCGAATACCGTTTTTTGTAAAACATGCTTATCGAGACCTAGAATAATTCTTTCGTTACCGAGAATTTCGAAAAACGTATCCACACCTATCAGCATATCTATTTCGCGAGGTTTATTGAAGTTTGGATCCGAAAGAATTAATCCAATTGGCAGATTTAGTTTAGAAATTTGAATTTGCTGCGCAGGTAGTGGACTCGATATTTTCTCGAGCACAAATGCATTTATTTTTTTTACAAATGTGTTATCTTCATTCAATATTTCTAAATTTATAAAATTATTTTATTGCGTTGAAGTCCCATCAACACCGTGCAGTTTAAGGCTCGTTGATTGAGATTTCACGCCCAATTTTTTAAATAGCGATTTTGATATTATATTAATTTCCGAACCTGAATCCGATATTGCTCGAATTTTAACACGGCTTCCATTATTACCTTTCGCAAACAAATTTACTGTAGGTAAGAACGCAGCCCCCGTCGCGAGATTTGTATTCATAACCGTATTAGACGTATTGCTAGCATTGTCGGGTTCGTCTATACCTGTCCGATTAATATTTATTTGCTTATCTTTATGGAGCAAACTATGATGTTTCTGAGAACATATCCCACATCTATACCTTTTAAAGCATTTATGTCGTAAATGTCCCCTTTGCAAACAATTAGAACATAATCCGTTGCCGCTAATAAAATTCTCTCGATCAGATAATGCCATAGAAAGAAATTTGGAGCAATTTACCAAATAATGATTATTATTGCATAAAGCGCATGCATTGTCGACATTATTCGATCGGGACAATAAGGATTTCCTCTCTGTAGAGTTGTATTTATTTAAGGTATTTAAATTTATTCCTTGTGATATTTTCAATGCCGTTCTTTGTTGGTCTAAAAACGTGAAAATTTCCAACACCGTCGGTAACTGTTTTTGGCATCTGCAACTATTAAATTTAACCCTAGTACTTATGTCAAATTTATTCAATAATAAAAAGGCTAACAACTGATCCCAATTATCAACATTAGTGTTAATAGCCTTAAGCGAATTAATAATTTGCTGAGCGTTATTAGAAACAGATTTTATGTTTGATGAATTTAATTTAGACAGTGAAGGTAAATCTGTTAATGCTTGTAAATAGGAATAAGTAATTAGGAAAACATTCTCAAATTTCGCGCACAATAAATCTAACGCTATCTGGTAATTACTGTCACTCAACTGCAAATTATTAATTGCTTCTGCGGCTTCTCCGATCAACTGTCCTTTTAAATAATAAAATTTCTGTACGTTAGACAAACTATCATTATTGTGAATAGTTGCATAAAATAATTCTTTAAACCCTATCCAATTTTTGTACGATCCGTCAAATTTTGGTATCGAAATGTCGGGCAACTTTATTTTCGGTTCGCTATCTACATTTTTCTTATTAACGGGCTCTGAAATTGTGCTTAACAAACGTTCTAATTTAAAGATTACCTCTATATATAAATCATCGATCACTTGCGCTTCTGAAGTGTGCTCATCAGATAATTCATTAATTAAATCTTGTATATTTTCAAAATTAAAATAATCTTTTTCATGCCGCGTTTTTAAAACGTTTAATAAATTTGTAGGCTCTCCTTGAAGATCCCTACTCAAGGTTTTTTCAAATTTAATTTTAATATTTTGGCGTTTAGATAATAACTTTTTTAATTCTGCCATTTTGATTAAATATCACGAAAACTCGAAAAATATTAAAAATAATAATTATAATTTAAAACTTATGAAAATAATTTTACCGAAATGTTATGGAACGCGTTAACTGTTACAATTGATTTTACTAAATTATATATGGCAATTAAATGACATCTAATATTCAGACTAGTATCTCAAAATTTTCAATTACAACATTTTCAACAATTATTCCAACAAAGCACTTGACATTCAAGGTAAAGAATGATAAAAACATTCACTAATACTATTGAATTATTAACAATATCCCTATGATAAGACTATTTCTTTCATGACATTAATGTTGTATGCTCGACAAATGAAGCAAAATCCATAAAATATTATTCTGGTAAAACAGAAACAATAAGAAACAATAGAAATCTAGCAAATAAATCGACTTAGCTGATATTTCTCTGGAGGAGTGTCCATTTGCAGCATCCAACAACTAGTGGCCAAGATAAATCTGCTTCCAATGGTTGAATAAACTTCCTGCAGGAACCAGCTATGCGTACGCAGTATTGTTAATAGTTCTAAACAATACGCAGCAGTCGTCCTTTGAGATCTTGAAGAGTTGTATTGAAATGCTACATTGGCTAGCAATTTGCTCCAGTCGGGTTCTCGAACTGACCGATTGTCTCAAATCCGTGATGACTTACAGATCAAAATCACAAATCACAGTATATTATTTCACTTCGAAGTTTTTATATTCGGATCAGATCGACAATTTATGATCTAAAATTTGGCATAATGTGACCAATTTTGATCTAAAATTCGGCTCGAAATGGACCAATTATGGTGAGGATCACTTTGATTAATTTGATATTGAGTGGACTGTAAATTATAAATATTTCATCACCATAAGAAGATGTGAATAAAACCACTATTTAATTTATGACATATATTGAACTACACTCTACAACCTTCTTCTCTTATTACATTTGCTAGACTCGCTTATTATTATATGTTACAGGTATTTATACTCATATAATTGTATCCCCTACCCCGAAGGGTCCCAGGTTAAATAAAAGCCCTGGTCAAATCTTGACCATATTTTGAACGAATATTTAATCTCATTTAAAATGATTCCTTCTGAAATGTATTTATTTGCTTCTTTTACAAGATCCTTGAGAGAATTTTTTGCAGAATAAGGCTTGGAGTCACCACAATACAATGCGATTGTTGCAGGCCTACTTTCATAATTACGGTGGTAAACTTTTAAAATAATTGGCCATACTTGAATCAAAGAGTTATTATAAATAGAAATTCCATCAATATGAAGCTAAACTGCTATAGTATCTTCCATATATATATATATATATATATATATATATATATATATATATATATATCAGGAAATATTATTTTTTCTAGTACATGTTTTATACCAAAATAAATATAACTTCCGCTAGTTTCGCGCTTGCTTACAATTGACTTCATTGGACGGCAATAGTTCGTTTTTAATAACTGCTTCAAAGTTTTTGGCAAATCCTCATGTCCATCTTCTCGTAATATTGTCAATAGTTCTGTTACTAAGTTTAATGTCAACATATTCATATTATCTAATGTCCAACAGCAAAGTTTTTCTTTTAATGCTTTTTTCGTTACTATTTCTTCACTGTTTTTTTGCAAAGAACCATCTAAAAGTTTGTCATCATTATAATTGTCCAAAAAAGCGCTGATGCCACAACTTTTTGAATAACTATCATTATTACTACTGTCAAAATCACTAGAGACGTTATCCAAGTTATTAATAAATTCTTGTAGATTACACGAGTCTGTATCACTAAGATCACTATCCTCATTTTCAAAACTAACGTTAAGACTTACTTGATTATCTTTATTTAAAACTTTTCTTTTTTTATTTAACGCGCGCCACCTTTGAACTCTAAGGTACCCATGATTACTTTAAACGGCAATGAATAATGAAAATAACTGTGACTCAGAAACTAGTAAAAAATATATAAAAAATTTACTGACTAAATAACACACGATGTATAAGCAAACTTTACAGACTAAAAGCTTCGATGAAAAGTCAAGTATGGCTGACGACGGAGCGTTATAAACCAAAATAATAGAACCATGCCGTACATAAACGAACGCAGGTCAATCTTGGTCCAAGCCAGGGAAATCATAGGCATGGCCAAGGCTGGGTTACCTAGTCTTGGACCAGGTATATATAATCATTGAACGGCCAAAAGGCTTATCATCAATGTAATTTTTTACAGCTCAAGTATATATTTTATCACATTATAAAATATTATATATAATAAAAATAAATATATAATATAGATAATTTCTGTTACAAAGTTGACAATATTCTAAATATGTACAATGTGTAGAATATGTAAAACGGTGTATATACACCGTTTTGCATATTCGCTACTCCGTTAGTAATTAATAAAGATTCATCAGTACGATAAAGTTTAGGCTTACCTACGTACAGTCATGACCTCACACCTGTAATCCTAATTAGTTAAATCAAATAAGCTTAATGTAAATAAGTGTAGTTAGTTGGTTTAGTTTCCACAGGTAATTACAGAGTATTCATAGAAGTCGGGTTAAGAAGTTGAAGTAACGTGAGAAGTTAAATTAAAACATGTACTAGACGTGTTTTAAAAAATAACGTTAAAAGTTTAAAGTGAAAGTTAAATAAGCTAAATATAAATAAGTGGTATTCATAGAAGTCGGGTTAAGGAGTTGAAGTAACAAAAGATGCTAAAAGCATTATTTTGATTTTAAAATCAGATTTCATTTAATTGTTGTGTGTGTTCGTTCTATTTTTTTCTCTGAATATGATATTACAAAAAATGTAATTAATTTTATTTTAAAATTGGATTTAATTTACTTGTTGTGTTTGTTTCATTTTCTTTACCCTGGATATAGAAAAAACTCGTTCAAAAAAACATTCGTATTAGTTGTCAAATATCCGTATTGTGTAGTCATATATAAACAGTTTTTGAGTTGTTTCAAGTATTTTGTTTTGATAGTCTAGTTCAAAAGATTTAAAACACATTGCCCAGAAAAATATATTGCGTTTTCTTCGTAAAACTCAAATTTCGTACACTTGACCCATAATGCCACACACAAATCGTTTTTTCCTGTCTTCGAAAACAGATATTAATAGCCAAATATTTTGTTTCACTAATTTCTCTAATATTTTGGTCAATGATATATTTATGCAAAGAGTCTAAATATATTGCCACGTGTCTCTTTTTCCTGCGACAGTCAAACACCGCGCCACGGGGCGCCGGTCGCCTGCGAAGTCCATATATCTGGCGCCATCCACTACTTGTAAAATTTCATATTAATTCAAGTTTTAAATTTCGCATAACTTAAAACATCTTTGTTCAATAATTGTTATTATACTAAATAATACATATGATTATAATTAATAAGAATTTAGATAACCGCAAATAGTATTGACTTTTGATGGTGTGTGTAGATATGTTTGTGTTTCTTAAAGCCACGTTCGCGAAGTTTCATGAGCCCTGTAATTATATAATTTTTTCGAAAGGATTCCGATATGGCAAATAAAAATAATGAAAGAAGAAAATAATATATTACTAACGTTAATAACGTTATAATCTAACAATTAAAATAATTGACTGAAAATAATAGTCAAAAAACTTCAAAAATGTTTAATAACATTGAGTCATTTTTTTCACAACTATATGAAATAAAGTTTGTGCGAAAAATATTTAAATATATTATTATTGTTTGTGTTAATATATATATATATATATATATATATATATATATATATATGCGGCGACACCCAAGTACAGCCCTGCATTAAATACGGGCCTGCAGCATTTGGGAATGCGCACGCATCAAGATGGCCGTCTCAGGCCTGAATAAAAGAACCCGCCATCGAAGCAAAAGGCCTATTCTACCGTTCGGCAGCCAGGAGAGATATACAGCACGATATAAATATTGTACCTATATTTCACTGCGAATAAACAATAACAAACTATACCAAAACTGTTTCAATCCATAAACTGCTTCATATGGTAACCCCGACGTGATATAATACTCAGTGACGTGATATAATAGTTGGTGACGTGAGTAAAACAGAACAATAGTGAATTAACTTAAGTTTATTTATTCAAGATTCAACAACATTTTTTATTTTTTTTATAAGAAATGTAATTTTTCTTTTTTTTTTTTGAACATTCAGTGACATTTTTTTTTAGTGAATATTTAATTTGTTTTTCTCAATTATTTGTGAAATGAGTGAAGAAGATAAGACAGTGAAATCAGAAAATCCAAACGACGCAAATGCAGGCGTATCACATGGAATTGCGAGGCCTATACCAACATTTTGGTATGAAAAACCTCAATTATGGTTCGCGATGATCGAGGCACATTTTAATCGATCACGAATAAAAACAGAAGATGTCAAATATGAATTTATATTATCATATTTAGATGACAAATTAGCCAGTGAAGTGGAAGATATAATATTAAATCCACCGAAAGTCGAACCCTATACTAAGTTAAAGAAAGAAATAATACAACGTTTATCACAGTCACAGGACCAAAAGATTCGAAGGTTGCTACAGCAAGAGGAACTGGGTGATCGAAAACCGTCGCAATTTTTACGACATCTAACATCATTGGCCGGTCCACTACTAGATGAGAACATTTTAAGAACCTTGTGGCTACAAAGATTACCTACGCATACACAACAAATATTAAAGGCACATCCGACCATGAAAATTGAAGACCTAGCCGCCATAGCAGATAGCATCGGTGAGGTTAACATCGCGCCAACGGTAGCCGCCACAAGCCTTACCGACAGTACAACGTCTGAATTATTAAAACGAGTAGAAGACCTAACAAAAATGGTAGCTGAATTGCAAAATAGACGTCCTAGATATCGGCATAATTCTCGTTCTAGGAAAATCTCGCGCACAAGAAGTTTTTCACGCCAAAGAAATGGTAGCAGGCAAAGATTTGATACGTGCTGGTACCACTTCAAATTTGGAGACAAAGCTAAGAAATGCACGCAACCATGCAAAATGTCGGGAAACGAAGAAGACAGGCACTAAATGCGGCAAGTGTTTGTCAAACACTTTCACGCCGCATGTTCGTCTCAGATAAACCAACCAAAGTACAATTTTTGATAGACACAGGTAGTGATCTGTGTATATACCCACGTATGTTTGTACAACGCAAAGTTTTCGAGTCCGATTACAAACTGTCTGCAGCAAACAATACCGAGATTCGTACATATGGAGATATACAGTTGAATCTCGACTTAGGTCTAAGGCGCAAATTCATCTGGAATTTTGTTATTGCTGATGTGTCAACACCCATAATAGGCGCAGATTTTCTGTCATATTACAACATAATTGTCGACACAAAGAATTCAAGACTAGTAGACGGTACTACAAACCTACAGGTAAAGACAATAAACAAAGGAACCATTCAAAAGGGAAGCATTAAAACTGTTAATATCAAATCAAAGTTTAGTGAAATTTTTAAAGAATTTCCTTCTTTGACGCGACCGCCAGGACTTCCACGTCAAATAAAACATACAACAGTACATTATATCAAAACCTCTCCTGGTCCACCAGTGGTAGCACAAACCCGTCCATTAAAAACTCAGCTGTTAAAAATTGCCAAACAGGAATTTGAAGAAATGGTGCAATTAGGTACTGCCCGACCATCAAGTAGCCCTTGGTCATCACCGTTACATCTAGTCCAAAAGAAAGACGATGCATGGAGACCATGTGGAGACTACCGAGCATTAAATGCAAGAACAATCCCGGATAGGTACCCAGTCAGGCTCATGAGTGACTACTCACAACACTTATCAGGTTGTAACATATTTTCAATAATAGACCTTAAGAAAGCATACCAGCAGATACCTGTTTACGATGAAGATATTCCCAAGACGGCAATTACAACACCTTTTGGTTTATTTGAGTTCCCCTTCATGACATTCGGCCTACGTAACGCAGCGCAAACTTTCCAAAGATTTATGGACGAAGTAACCAGTGGATTAGATTTTTGTTTTCCATATATTGATGATATTCTAATCGCATCCAAAAGTGAAGAACAACATGAACACCATCTCCGTAGGTTGTTCCAACGTTTAGCAGATTATGGTATAGTAGTAAACCCATCTAAATGCATTCTAGGCGCTAAGGAAGTTACATTCCTAGGATACTGCATCTCGGAGCATGGTACAAAACCCCCAAAAGAGAGGATAACCGCATTGTTAAATTTTCCAAAACCAAAAACTATAAAAGGATTACGGAGATTCTTAGGCATGATAAACTTTTATCGAAAATTTTGTCCGAATGCTGCCAGATATCAAGCAGATTTACAAGTTTTATTATCAAAACCTAAATCGAAGGACACAACCCAAATTGACTGGGATGAAAAACTTACAGCAGGTTTCGAAGCTTGTAAGAAGAATCTCGCTGAAGCTACCTTACTAACGCATCCATTGCCTGATGCAGAACTTGCTTTATTTACAGACGCTTCAGACAAATCCGTGGGTGCAGTGCTACAACAATATACAAACGGTGAATGGAAACCTCTCGCTTATTTTTCGAAGAAAATTTCTGAAAAACAAAGAACGTGGCCAACGTACTACCGCGAGCTTTTAGCAGGGTATAAAGCATTCCAATACTTCAAGAATCAAATCATTGGTCGTAACTTTATTTGGTTCACCGACCACAAACCACTTATGTATGTTTTTCAGCAAAAACACGACCGCCTACCACCAGTTCAACTCAATCAGATAACATATATGTCACAATTCACGACAGATGTTAGACATGTGAGCGGGACAAAGAATATTCCGGCTGATTTGTTTTCTAGAATTGAATCAATCAGTTCCCAATTGGAAATTACCGAGATAGCAAAAGCTCAAAAGGAGGACAAGGAGCTTAAACAATATTTATCGATGAAAACTGCCTTACAACTTAAAAAACGGAAAATTCCAGGAACAAACTACTCCATATACTGCGATACATCTCAAGGAAGAGAACGACCATTCGTACCTGTAAGTCTAAGAAAGAAAATTTTTGACAGCCTGCATAATTTAAGTCACCCAGGACCTAGACCAACAATAAAACTAGTGACACAGCGCTTCGTTTGGCCAAACATCCGCCGGGACTGTAAGGTTTGGTCCAGAGAATGTTTGAAATGTCAGCGGAGTAAATTAAGCAGGCACACCGTAACACCCATTAAGGAATTCAATGTGCCAACAGCAAGGTTCATGCAGGTACATATTGATATAGTAGGTCCATTACCTCTTTGAAAAAATTATCGTTATCTGTTAACTGCCATAGACCGATACACTCGATGGGTTGAAGCATATCCAATGCCGGACATTACATCAGAAACGGTAACACATGCATTTCTTTTATGTTGGGTCTCACGCTTCGCAGTTCCAGCACAAGTCACAAGTGACAGAGGAAGACAGTTTGACGCCTCACTATTTCGAAATGTCGCACAAGCATGTGGAATCCACTTGATACAAACTTCAGCTTATCACCCGCAATCAAATGGTTTAATCGAGACAGTACACAGGACATAGAAAGCAGCTCTAATGTGCCATGAGGATCATTCATGGATAGAGGCTTTACCATGGGTATTATTAGGACTTCGCTCAGCTGTTAAAGAAGACTTAAAGAATTCTAGCGCAGAACTCACCTATGGAGAACCTTTGAGACTTCCTGGTCAATTTTTTAAAGATCACACGGGCATATCAACTACAACCGTCATGGATAAATTACATAGGATCTTTAGAAATTTAAAGCCACAGCCTACTTCATCTCATACCCCGAAAAAGAATTTTATCCATAAAGATCTGGACAAGTCTAGTCATGTTTTCATCAGGCAAGATATGATAAAGCCAACTCTGACGCAACCTTATAAAGGACCTTACAAGGTTTTGGAAAGAGGTGAAAAGACTTTTAAACTGGACGTTTTGGGCCAGCCAAAATCCTTTTCTAAAGACAGACTGAAGCCTGCATACACGACTGCCGAAGAACGCACAACAGCAGAGCACGTCACATCTGAAAAATATACAACAAGACGAGGACGGCAGGTACGATTTCAGAATTATAAAGAATAATAATTTTCTTTCTTTTTCACCGTTGGGGGCTGTGCGGCGACACCCAAGTACAGCCCTGCATTAAATACGGGCCTGCAGCATTTGGGAATGCGCACGCATCAAGATGGCCGTCTCAGGCCTGAATAAAAGAACCCGCCATCGAAGCAAAAGGCCTATTCTACCGTTCGGCAGCCAGAAGAGATATACAGCACGATATAAATATTGTACCTATATTTCACTGCGAATAAACAATAACAAACTATACCAAAACTGTTTCAATCCATAAACTGCTTCATATATATATATATATATATATATATATATATATATATATATATATGTATATATATTGAATTGAATATAACAGCCAATGCTAAAATTTAGAGATGTTTATTTTAAATTTTTTTATACGTTTTGAGACTAGATGTGTTTCATCATTCAGCTAAAAGAAATTTACAATATATAGGAAGATTTAGAATTAAAAATATAACGATTAGAAAAATTCATTAAAAGAAATAAATTATATATAATCGAATGTTATAATAACATAATCAAATGTTACTACTGTAGGAAAACAAAAACAATTTTAAAAAAAACTGAAAGGTCAATGTAATAATAAATGAGCATATATACGGGTTAGCCAGTCTCGGCCAAGCCAATGATTTTCTAGACTTGGGCCAAGACTGCCAGTCGTGGCCCAAGTATGGTTAATCATTGGCATGGCCAAGGCTGGGTTACCAAGTTTTGGACCAAACATGGATAATCATTGAACGGCCAAGGCTGGTTTGGCCAGTCGTGGCCCATGTCTGGGTAATCATTGGCGTGGCCAAGGCTGGGTTACCCAGTCTTGGACCAAACATGGATAATCATTGAACGGCCGAGGCTGGGTTGGCCAGTCTTGGCCCACGTCTGGGTAATCATTGGCATAGCCAAGGCTGAGTTACCCAGTCTTGAACCAAGCCTGAATATTCATTAAACGGCCAAGGCTGGGTTAGCCAGTCGTTGCCCAAGCATGGTTAATCTTTGGCATAGCCAAGGCTGGGTTAGCCAGTCTTGGACCAAACATGGATAATCATTGAACGGCCAAGGCTAGGTTGGCCAGTCTTGGCCCACGCCTGGGTATTCATTGGCATGGCTAAGGGTGGATTGCCCAGTCTTGAACCAAGCCTGAATATTCATCAAACGGCCAAGGCTGGGTTGGCCAGCCGTAGCCCAAGTCTGGGTAAACATTGGCATGGCCAAGGCTGGGTTACCCAGTCTTGGACCAAGCATGGATAATCATTGAACGGCCAAGGCTGGGTTAGTCAGGCGTGGCCCAAGCATGGTTAATCTTTGGCATGGCCAAGGCTGGGTTACCCAGTTTTGGCCCAAGTCTAGAAAATCATTGGCTTGGCCGAGGCTGGGTTAAGTAGCCTGGCCCAAGCATGGCCCAATACTGGTATGCCGAAGCTAGGTTTCCCATTACTGGACCTAGCTTGGCCCCTTCGTCAAGCCTGGGGGTTTCCTACATGGGTTATTAAAGATTGCCGTAGATGTTTATATAATAAACAACAACGTGCTAAAATAAACATAGTAGACAATTCATATGACAATCCTGTCCCAAGTACAAGTAAACCCACTATACTACTAGTACTAGTAAACCTGAGACGAGTAAAGCTCTAAATCATAGGTTCCCAAACTTGTTTGTGCCGTGGACCCCTTGCGATATTTTTCGTTTTGTCATGGACCCCCTATATTATGGCTTATCCGGGACGGTTCCGGGTTTTCATCTTTTGATCCGAGTTTTCATCTTTTGATCCGAGTTTTTTCAAAATCAATATTTGTCCCGGATTTTTAAAAATTATAGGCTTAAATCTTAATTAAAATTTCCTTAATTAAAATTTGTTTTTTCTTAATTAAAATTAAATTACAACTACTTATCAAATTAATTATGTGAATCAATGTGCTTTTTATCTTTTGTAAAACGTTATGAATGGG